CTAAATTCATATGTCAGGGGGTTAAGAAAGAAATTACAACAAAAAAAAAAAAGAAGAAAAAGGAAAGAAGAAAGCCTCGACAATGATCAATTAAAAAATCTCAATCGCACTAATTCGAATTTTGTCTCACAATGTTGCAAACGTCTATCATTCGTCGTAAAATTACAAACAGACAGAAGACAAAACAAAATTCGACAATCACTGAATTCTTCGTAATTCCTCGTTTTCACTTTGCCGAATCGTGATAAATGTCATCATACCACTGACGGAAAACTAAGAAAAAAATTGGTAAATTGGTTCGATCACTTTAATCTGCACCCAGCCAACGTTTAATTCTCTCATTTGGAAACGCCTGTACAAAAGTAATCGACTCTGATTCTCCACTTACGACAGTATCGTTCGTCCTGGCCCCAAGGACAGTCCATCTCGCCGTTGCAGATGTGGCTGGCCGACATGCATCTCCTCTCGCCGCAGTGCAAGGCCGACTTCGAGATGGTGTTCATCGCCAAGATCGGTTTCTTCATGATCTTCGTGCTGTTGATGGAACTGGACGAGGAAGAGGAGGAGGAGACAGTGCACTCGCCGCACTCGGTCTCGTCGCTATGATCAGCGCAGTCCAAGTGGCCGTCGCATCGCCAGTCAACCGGAATGCATCTGGTCCCATCGCATTGGAAACCACTGGTGCATACTGTGCAACGTGTTCACCAAGAAATGTAACAGAATCGTTTCTTCCAACTCACCACGTGTACATTCGCTGTTTCTTTTTTCCCTTCGTTTCTCTCTCTCTCTCTCTTTCATTTCCAATACCTTCCTCTTTACTTTCTCGTTTTCTGCTTGGTTTTCCGATTTTGGTGGAAGAGAAACGAACGGAAAAGAGAAAAGAAGGAATGGAGGATCAGGGAATACGTGGTGATTGACTTCACCGGTTAGAGACTCATTGTGAAACTCGAGCATTTCAGTGTCTTCGTTTTGAAAGGGGCAGGTGATTAAGTGGACCGATAATGTTAATTGCTAGACTACGGATGTTTATTTTTTACGAAGATAATTCAGAAATCGGACGTAGATAGGAAATTATTTTATTTATATTCGTTAGGTATCAGAAGAAGTGTTGCATTTTAAATATTTTCCCCGTTTGGTGGAATTTTCAAGTTTTTCAAACAGCGCTTGCCACGCCGACGAGTGTCCTCTCCCGAGTCTTTAATCTCTGTCATTAATCTTTTTCATAGTATCGTGTAATTTAGTTATCACGCGATTATCTAGATTTTATTAATGAGTTTTACGAAACGATTAAAACGAGAGATCGTAATCAATTGCAATTCGCGTTCTCCTGAGGGAAAATTTAAAGTACACTGAAATACAATAATCAATTCAATTTCGATGAATCCTTCGATTCCTCAAAGAATTTTTTTTTATAAACTCGCTCGAGTAAAAAATTGCATTCCTTTCGGTCAGTCGCGGTCTCTACGCGAAAAAGGAAGATGGAAAGCTCGCGGTATAATTTAAATTACAGGCATACACTCGCACCGAGGCAAATATACAACGTCGAAGTTCCATTTAGCCAGTTAAATTTGTTCGTGCTCCGGATCTAGCAGCCATGAATCTTTGCAACGCGTTTGAACATCGCGTTTCCCCGTTGCAAAACGACGAAGGTGTCGCGCCCACGGCTCTTTGATAAATGTTTATTCGCCGCAAGTATATCGCGACGCCAGTTCAAAGATATACATGCGCATCCCCTCTCTCGAAGTGAACTCTTGGAAGCTGCTGGACCATCGTCGTTGAAAATCGGCCCATCGCGCGATCGTTTAATATAGATTTTGCAATTAAGATTCCATTAGCGCAAGCGAGACACGCGTGCCACGCGCAACCGTGCACGTTGATATCAATCGGACATTAATATACCGCGGCGCTTTTTCCCAGAGAAATTCATATATCGCGGAGAATCTGACCCGATTCGTTCCTGCAAAATGCAAATTCATACGAAACACGATGCGATGTTTTTTTTTTTCTTTTTTATTTTCTATTTCGAAGGGGATGATTTAATAAATCAGAGATTTGTAAGTACGATGACGGAAGTTTGGTTAGTAAAAATTGAAATTCCTTTCCATTTGTTGTAATAAATCTCGACGAATCATGTTTCTAAGTGATTTGTCATGTCTGTGATAAATATAGGCACATGTAGGTACAGTTGAAAATTATTCTATCAGTGCCGCACGGATATCTCACTTTCCTCCTTCTTTTGCATTACGATTAATCTCTTTGTGACAAATTTATTAACTGACAGTTAATTTCATTCCTAGAAATCTTCGTTAATCTCTTACAAAATCGTAGGCGTAATCCTTACGAAACATTACCAGAAAAAAAAAACAACAAAATTTCTGTATGCAAATCGAGAAAAAAAAGGGAGAATTCGTCGAAAGGGAAGAAAATATCGAGAAAAAAGAAGTCGTCGAATTTCTCCTGAAAGTCGCCGTGAATATACGAATTGTAAATATCTTTCGATATTTCCAGTCGATCGGTGGCAATAAATAACGAGGGGATGAGACGCAGTCGACGAAAGGAGGGAAAGAATGGCAAACGGCGTCGAAGCGTTAGAAATCGGCAGAGGTGATCCCGTAATCAGGGCGCAATTTAATTTCAATTAACCGCGAACGCAAATGAATCGGTTTATCAGCCAGCTGGTCAATCGATCCTCGATTTGCTCTCTCGACTAGCTTTCGATCGATAACGAAACTTTCCGCAGCAAACTGTCCCTCCCTCGAACCTGGCACGATTCGGTAATTGCAGCGTGTATTCGCGGACCGAACGATCGTTTAATCTGCCGGTTGTCGGTCGGGATGTCACAAAATCGACTTCTACTATTGCGCTACTGACGTGGGAAGTAGCAAACTCTCTATCTCTCTCGTTTGTTCTCTCGTCTTCGCGATGGAATTTTCTTGGCTATGAAAAGACGCTTGTTACACGTTTAACGCTTTATAAAGCGTCAAATCTATCGGCAGAGAGGCAAAGGATAAATTAAACGCAAAGATTCTACTTTTCATACGTGAGCATTGAATGGTCATCGAGTTGAACGATTATATTTTAGATTGAATTGTTCAGTTACTTTTACTTCAACTTCCTTGCTAATTTCTGTCACAAGTCAGAGTTAAATGATTCTTGATCTTAGAATCCTTTGCTCGAGTTTATCCCTCCTCGCAAGATACACGATAATAGTTTTAAAAATCCGATGAATTATTATAATTGAGGGTTAACGTTAAGTTTCATAGTGTTTAAAGGCGTGAAATCGATTTTAAATTTATCGAAGGAGATAAAAGACAGTTCAGAATCAAAGGTTTTTCTGTATTTTGCATCTTATGATAGATTCTAGGATAAAAATCAGCTCTATTCACCGAACGAAGCGAGGATAGAAAGTGGTTTTCTCGTTTGTTCGGACATTTCCGAGGGGGATTTTAGGGCTTGTTACACGTTTCCGCTTTATAAAGAATCAAATTTATTGGTGAAATAAAGGGACAAGTTAGAGCCACAGGCTTTTTACGTTTAATATCGGGTTGCGGCGAGTGAAATTCTCGATTTCACGGAGGACCGGGCATATACACGAAGCGACTGCAGAAAGTATCGGCATATTACTGAATTATTGAAAGCACGTTTCCGTTAATATTAATGTCATTTCACGATTAATAAGTGATATACACGTGTTCCGAAATCCAAGGACAATTTCGGTAACATACAACGGGATTGATCGACAACGTACAGAGAATTTCCCGTGGTATTTTCAATTACTGAAATTTACGAACCAAGTAATACTTTCACAAGAATCTAATAAAGTCTCATTGAAAGATATTTCACTCGAGAAATGAAAGTAACACGTACACGTGTGCAACAAGAATTTTTCGAACCTCAATTTTTGCTCAGATTCGAGTCAATTTCAGGGTTTGAAAACACCAAATTTTCTACGATCGAATTTACCACAGTTGAAGCTCAACCTCGCAGCGTTCCGATGGAACTTGTTCGACAAACTTCGCAAATAACTCGATTTCTCTGATTTGTCTGAGCTCTCGAGCAACGCGGCGAGCGTAGCCGACGCTCGCAATCGAGTCACGTCTGACCAGCGACGCGTAGTTTCACTTGGGACTCGGCGACGAAACCAGGGATACAGTCGTCGACGTATTCGTCCGAACTCGGGCGAATAATTAAGAAAACTGAATTGCATCGGGAACCGATCGGTGGAACCGCGCGATTTCCTAGAGCGTGTTGAACGGTCAACAATGGGGGGAGCGTTTCACGGTGAACAAAAGAGTGGTACACACGGGACGGAAAGCGCGAACAATGAACAACGAGGTTCAGCAGGTTAGTCGGTAATTAGTCCGGCGGGGAGAAATTGCTTAAACAAAAGACGAACCACCGAAGTCGCGTAAATATTTCCGGTCTTTCATTGTTCCGGTAACTACCGAGGTGAGGCTGAATGAAAGCCTCGAAGATAGTTTTCACGGTTCACGTGGGGCGTTGTTTGCGCAGCGATCGATTTATTGCTTTTGTTTTAATCCGGCAGGATTCCCTCCTCCTTCGTCGAAGATTGATTTATTTGGCACGCGTGCGAGCGGATTCAAAAAGGCATTTTTTCGATTCTTGTTTTGAGGTTAAGTTGAAGCGGGAATACCAAATGGAACAATTTACTGAAGTATAGATTCTTTTTAGTACTATTTTAATACCGACGTGTGTTGTTCGTATAAAAATACTTTCGTAGATATTTCGTTACATCGGTTTATGATTTATGTTGCAGCCTCCCCTCGTTCTTTGTGTATAAATTTTATCTTGATTACTGAT